TTTTTTTCCAACAGCATTTGCTTGTGATGTCTCAACAACGACAAACAAGAGTGAGGGTGAAGTCGACACATGAAGGTGTGACAACAACGATAGACGAGAGTGAAGACGATCGGTGATAAATGATAACGAGGGTTATTATGAGTATTGCTATAGAAAATATGGGTATCATACGAGAAAAATACAAACACATTACTAGAAAAACCAACAATGAGAAATATTTTTTAAGAAAATCATCCTATAATTTTTTCCATAATTATATCCTTCCTATTACTTTAATTCACTTTAAAGTTGGTAAATAAAAATATTACGATGTTGTTGAAAACCATTATAATCAGTTTGGTTTAGTGGGTTTCAGTGTATATAAATATATCATAATTAGATTTCTAAGGCCTAAAGCGTTATTTGGATGCTCTACAGGGATAAATATGTAAAAAGACATAATAATATTTTCAGATCACATGATGCGTTTACGATCAAATCAATCCATCAATCCTGATGCATTCATCATTCCCTAAACTCCAGAGGTTCTTCCACAGACTCCATTCCACTACCTCAAACCCTAATCCTCCCTCCTCCTCCCTTTCCCAATGGCTTCTCCTATCCAGCTCCATCTCCATCTCCATCTCGACCAGTCGCCACCTCCGCCAATTCCTCGCTCGCGGTATCGCCGCTGGCCTTCTCCGGAACAACCACCTCCATCTCTGGAACTCCCTCCTCCACTCGCTCGCTCGTGGCCCCAACCCCGACCTCTCCATCTCCCTATTCGATCTGCTCCGAAGAGCCGGCGTCGACGTCGACAATTACGCCTTCACCGCCGTCCTTAAAGCCGTCGCCGCGTTTCCACGCCCCAAGGAGGGCGAAAATATTCATTCTTTGAGCCTGAAACTTGGGTTCGAAAGTGAAAACTTCGTTCTCAACTCCCTCATCCATATGTACTCTGTCTGCGGCTTCCATGTCGCTGCAAGGAGGGTCTTTGATTTGGCCGAGGATTCCGCCCGTGACGTGGTGTCCTGGAGTAGTATGATATCGGGGTATTTGCAGGTCGGTTTGTGCCAAGAAGCGTTGTTGGTCTTTGGGAATATGGTCCGTAGATCAATCACGATGGATGCAATCACTCCAGTGAGTGCGTTGATTGCTTGTGGGAGGATCGGAGCGATCGAGCCTGGAAGAAGGATCCATGCCCTGGTTGTCATCTATGGTTTCGATCTGAACTGTTTTTTGGGCTCTTCTCTGATTAATATGTATGCAGGGTGTGGCTATATTGAGGATGCTCGCAAGTTGTTCGATCGAATTCCTGAAAGGAATGTTGTCTGCTGGACATCGATGATTTCTGGGTACACCCAATCGGGTCAGTTCAGGGAGTCCATCGAGCTGTTCAGAGAGATGCAGATGGCTGGAGTTAGAGCTGAAGATCCCACCGTAGCTTCTGTTGTGTCATCTTGTGCACAGCTGGGCGCGCATGCACAAGGAAGGAATATCCACAAGTATTGTGATGTGAACAATATAGGAAAACTCCTATCCGTGAAGAATGCTCTAATTGATATGTACTCAAAGTGTGGGGACGTTCAGAGAGCTTTCGAGGTTTTCCAAGGACTTGCCCAGAAGGATGTAATTTCATGGACTGTGATGATATCTGGTCTGGCATTGAATGGATATCCAAAGGAGGCATTGGATTTGTTCTCGGAAATGGAATTATCAGATGAGGCCATGCCAAATGAGATTACATTCCTCGGGGTTTTAACTGCTTGTAGTCATGGAGGGTTTGTCGACAAAGGGTACCACTACTTCAACAAAATGGTACATCACTACGGACTCATGCCTCAAATAGAGCACTATGGATGTATGGTTGATCTTCTTGGTCGTGCAAATCTTCTGGAAGAGGCAAAAAAGTTCATCAAGGAAATGCCAATTAAACCTGATGTGGTCATTTGGCGATCGCTGCTTTTCGCTTGTCGAGGTAAGGAGAATGTCAAGCTAGCAGAATATGCAGCAGAAAGAATTCTGGAATTGGAGCCAAGGAGGTGTGCGGGGCATGTTTTGCTGTCAAATATATATGCTGTTTCATCAAGGTGGAGTGATGTGAACAAGGTCAGAGGAGTTATGCGCAATTGGAGCATACATAAGATACCAGGGTGCTCTTTCATTGAATTGAATGGAATAGTGCATGAGTTCTTAGCTACAGACAGATCACACCATCAGTCAGATATGATATATGAGTTTCTTTGGGTGATCCATGGACACCTATTTTCGGAATCATACGATGAGTCCTGTCTTTCAACATGGGAGGGACCATGAATCAAACTTGACGAAAAGTACAAGGTTGTGAATCATGATCTCACCTTTATTAGGAGCTAGGCATTTTTTGATTAATCAGGAAACAAAGGAACCTTCTTCTTTTGTTTCAGTGGTTAGGCACTAGGCACATCCGGCGAAGAGGCAGCCCCCTCTGCCGCTGCCGCTTGAGGAGATAGAAGATCACAGTCCTAGAGAGTAGGAAGAGGGAGGATGCCAAGGTGATGCAAAGCTAAGGGAGCAAGAGAAGCCCAGCAGTGGATCATCATAAGTTTCACAGAACTCGGAACGGCTGCCTGGTCTATTACTTTGCTTCGCTTGCCTGTTGTATTTCAAGGTTAGGTTTCCGTACTCTTGATACCTGATCATGCAGTCTGCAATAGTCTTGCAAATGTTTACACAATATTGGAGTAGTTGACCTCGACAACTTTCGTAGGATATATGCTGTTGATAGGGGCAACGTTCGCTGCCCCATTGACATTTGATATGTCAACACCAGCAGTCAGAAAACGGTAAAATAGACTGATCAAATTTATCATGTAAAACATGAATCAAAATGGAAAATATTTGACACCAGCAGTATCATTTATTTTTACTCGATCAAATTATAGTTTGCTTTGCTCATCATATCATAAGTCTGGTTTACTTGGTCAACTGGAACTGGAACTCTATTTTCTTCTTTTTTGGTGCTTACTTAACTTTCAGTCTTGATCAAGTATAAGTCTTAACCAATTTCGAAATTTCTCTATATAGCAGACACCATTATTACTATTAATTTTCCTTTGGAAGACTATAGCGGCATATTGAAGAAAAATGGATGAACACCATGAATTCATTAAATCATTCTCCTATTCTTGGAGATGGGTGTGTTGAGTTATTTGGGGAAGTATGCAGAAGTAGAATATTTACTTAGTGATGGTCATTTAAGTTCGAAGAGCTGACTCACTTTATGTTTACATGTGTTTGGTAAACTTCATGCCTTGGAAGCACAATAATAATCACCAGTCTAGGAATGCACAGAAAAAGAAACAATGGACTGTCACCTTCCTTTCATCAGAAATAATTTATATTTCAAACAGTAGCACTTAACACTTGATATTTCCCACCCACAAATCTCTACAATCTACCTAAATCATTCTTTTTCTTTCTTTTCTTCACAGTAATGTGAGCCATGAGCGACATACATTTCTAACAAATCAAGGAGTTCCATTGTCTGATAACAATTGCGAAGGATGATAACCACAGTACCTGTGCACAGGTCGAGGACTTCCATTTTGACTGATGCTTCAATTGTGTGTGTGTGTGTGTCAACTATCAAAGAAGAGAACTGTTCTAGTTTCTTGACATTGTTTAGTTTAAGAGCATGTACATTGAAGAAGCATGTTGGGTTTAACATGTACAACTGATGCAATACACAGACCTCCCCATATCTGTCTTTATTTCCTGCAAATTAAGAATAACTTCTTGTTACATGTCATGGATGAGAATACTGAGAGCATAAAGTCCAGGTATAGTAAGACAAATAACTTATTTATCTAACTTAAATGAAATATCTAGAACAGCTATGGGGGACTTTGGCTTCATAAATGAAGAGGTTCTCAACTAGCATAATGGAAAAGATGAACTACATATGAAAAGCATTTTCAGGTTCTGTTGAGAATGATACTTTGCTTGAGGTGATCAAACAATAGTAGGATGGATGGAATAAAAATATATCTCCTTGTAGAACTCCAAGTATCATGTGGGAACAGTACATATTTCTATGTATTATGCTTTGGCTGATGTGAGGAATGCTTCTTACCATTCTTTCTATGTTTACATGTTAAGCCATCTATTTCTACTTATCAATAACCAATACAACCATAAATGTTAGTAGTGATAAAAAATACATAAACTTGAAAAATCAAAAGAAGCACAAACATATCTAGAAAAAAAAAAGATTAATTGAATGCATTATTGTGTCAAAAGTCCTATAAAAATTGAACTCTCTTCTGTAAAGCATCCAAAATAAAAAAAGGATGCTTCTGGTTAGGGATTTTTCCAATGGGCTTGTTGCATTAAACCCAATTTCTTGCCTAGATATTCAAGAACATTGCACAGGAATGAATCATCATGATCTTAGAGAATATTGGTGCATACCAAGGGAGTTTAAAGGTGTCTTTCCACCGCCCCTGCTTGAGACAAGTGGCATAAACTTTGTCGAGCCGAATAATTATTTCTGAAAAGGTTGGTCTCACTACAGGATCAGGATCCCAACATTCTTCAATTAATCTGCCAAAAAAACAAAAAAAAGGGAACATAGTTTAGACACTATTTGTTCATCATGAGATGCGAGTGATTTGGTGAACATCTGTGTAACCAATGAAAATAACAAAGACATGGAAGAAAATTGTATGATGATCTGATCCCTAACTTTGCTCGGTTCATCCAGGCGTTTTCATGACATGCATTTTTCCAAGAGAAGCTGGTAGTTGCAAAGCTTCTCTGGTCTTTCTCTAGACAGGTAGCATAACATGTGCAGAGTAGTCGTTAGTGCTAGCATATAAGGCCGAGATGATAGTCTAAAGCAAAGGCATCAAAATAATTAGATGAAGATATGACATCCTCAAGATATGTCAGAACATGTCATATTGATACACATAGAATACTAACATGGAGAATTTTTTTTTTTTATGGGGGTGTAGTAATGAATTATCAGCTATCTACCAGAATTTATATGAAGTTAGAATTTTGGACTTATAATTAGTAGTCGATCAAAATGGGCCAAAATATATCGAACTTAGTCAGAATGTTTACTTGGAAATACAATAAAAAGAGAATGGGAGAAACAGAAGAAAATGCATTGACTTTAGCAATATGTCAAACTTACTCTTTTACATCTAGAGGATAACCTTTTGATTTGTTCTTCATTAGGGGTCTCAACCCATCCAAGCAAATCATTCTAGCAGCTTCTTCTGGGCCCTTTGGGTGAAAGGCTGGTGCTCCTTCAATCATCTGAAACCATCAAGAGAGTATATAACAATCAAAAAGAGAGGAAAAAAAAGTAATATTTACTATTGATAAATTAACAATTCATATAACACCAAGACATAAAATTACAGTCGATCTTTCATTGTCCATTTAAAATGCAAGGCAAAGTTTTAGGCCAACTTCTTGTTGAACCTGCCATTATCTTCCTCCCAACTTTCATATCCCTCTTAGAACAGTCTCCAGCAGAACTGCTGAAGAGGATGCCTTCAACAAATGCAGCAACCTACTTTCTATATCCAGCTTTCCTCATGGTATGTTGCATTGTGAGAAGGAAGACCTCTTCAATAGATAATGACTTTAATGTTATTAACTTCAGCAGAGACTACATAATGAAATCTATTGACATTATTAATTTGAGATTCATTTGATATAAAATACAATCAAGATGTAAGGTGACAATATGTTGAAAAGTTTCATATTTGCATAGAGAAAAGCAAATTCCCATCCACGAGGTTTTTGTATATGCTGTCTGATGGGTATGACTTTTCTACAAGAAGTCAAAGATGCCAAACCTGTTAAAAAGAACTTCCAATCTGTCAAGAGTCCTCAATACCGAGCCAATTATCACCATATTCTTGCTTTCTCTATCTCTCTCCTTGTTCCCATTCTCCCTAACGTTCGCTAGGAACATGTATGCTCTGATGTAAAAAATGAGAACCCAACAGAGACCATCCGATCGACCAAATGTGTAGCACAATCAACTATTTTAGCCATCTTTTGTAATTTATATTGAATATAACATAATTTACCATGGTCCATGGTAAATATGATTCAATAGTCAGACTACAATTAAAACCACTTCATGAGGTTCCAAGATGAATAAATAATTTAACAAAAACTAGCAGAAAATTGTCCAAAATATGAAGATATTTCCATGAATATTTCAAATATAGGAAAACAATATGAACAAGCTAGTTGATGCCTGATGGCAAGTACCAGTTAGATACTGTGTAATGGTTCACACATAATACTAGTTTGCTCTGCTACATATTAGTACAAGCATCTGTCAAGGGATTGATTTTTTTTTTCTCCTTCAGTGTCAAAAGTGACATTTTTCATTATAAAACACTGAAAACTGTTAGAAGAAAGTTATAGCTTTACGAACCTCATAAAGAATGAGACCAAAGGAGAATGCATCAACACTTCTGTCAAATATTTCATCCCTGTAAACCTCCGGTGCCATGTACAAACCTACCAGAAGACATTGTTACTTTTAAACTGTAAGAATATTGATTCAAACAAGCATCAGACTCATGTCCAGTGCTTTTATAAAAAAAAAATATGTACATTTATTTAGTGAGGTAATGAAGTGATACAGAGTTCATTCTTTTATTTTCAACAGTGAAATACATAAACAAACACATACAACCATTGCTTGTCATGAGACAGTTCAATCTTCAATAGTAACAACATTGCAGCTAGAGATTAACAATAATCAACCTAGAAATTTTGTTTTAATGCTTCTTATTCTATTGGATAGTCTTGAACATCACTACTCTCATAATTTGGTCTATCCAATAGCTAATGAAAGAAATCAACTTAGACATCAGTAAGCAAAAATGGTTGTTTGTTGTCATCTACTCTATAATCTAACCCAAGTCGAGAAAAGAACATCAAGATAAGAGAATCATTTTTTTAAATTAGGAATGCCAGAATGGGAAAGAAATAACTGAAAAAAACCCAAATGAAGGCAACAAGAAATAATGCTCGATGCATATCAAATATGAACTAGTATGTTTTCTTATTTTGGATTGTTGCACCCAATCTTTATGATACATGAATTTTAATTTTTGTTGTGATTCTTCTGTGGTAGAGACATTTGCTTTTGCTCTATTCACCAGTTGATATTTATAATAATTAGATTATCGTAGATTAAGCATGCCAATCACTTTTACTTCTTTATTCTTTTTCACAAATAATTTTTAACTTATCAGTTGTCATTATCTCAGAAGAATCAATGTCAAATAGAAATTTGATGTAATTTTCCAATAAATCTGCTTCTGGTCCATTATTTAGAAGTGCATCTGTCATCCAGATTCACAAATATGACATTTAAAGTAACTAAGATGATTATTATTGACTTCAATCAAGTAAATGATAATTTACTTATGGAACCGGATTCTTGAATAGAATACTTTGTACTTGCTATTAGGGAACTACTCAAAAGAGGATACAGATACATTTCCATTCAAGAAAGAAAGAAAACAGCAGAGTATATTATCATATAGTGCTTTAAATTAGTCCTTGGCATACAAAGCAAAGCTAGTTCAAAAATACATTAAACACATTCCACTCATAGAAGTATCACTTAAAGTACATAACAATGTACATATGGAGTAGCAATAAATTTTTCACACTCCTAGAGGGAGCTTGGTCTGTCAGATTCTGAATGCTGGTTGAAAAAGCAAAAGGACTTACTCAAGTTGTCAATTTGAGCTTTGGAATCTGCCAATTTAGCTTTATTAGGTGAAATTTTTGATAGGTTGACTAACCCAAAGCCTCCAACCTTCAATTGTCCACCACAATCGAGCAAGATATTTCTGGCACCTTACCAAAACTTTGAATATTAAAGTACAGTACATGAACAAATGATCAAATTAAATCGCAATGCATGATATATATGTATGAAAATGAGCTCACTTCCTCATTGGTCCATCTTACTTTGGTTTTAAATTGCAGTGAATGATTGGGTCTGGTTTACATTGATGGAGATAATTCATTCCCCTGAATATGAAGCAATAGCCACAGCATCAGAAACACTTTTCATGTTACTGGAAACAAAAGCCCTTATATAGATTCAGATACATGCAGTGAAACAGGAGCATTTGATACACTCTGCACTAGTTTTGGTGATATTAGCCTGTAAGAATACCACACATTATTTTTGGGAATATCTACTATATGCTAACTATATCATTGGTTTTTAACACAACTAAGTGCAGTTGTTGTTTAAGGTAATTCAGTGCTTTGTTCCTCCACATTTCTCAACATAAACTGCATATCATCACATCTCTTGCAATGAGTACCAAAAGTGAACTTTGCTTCTTTCTAACTAATATATTGAATCTGCTCATGACAATCGCCATATGGCCAAAAAAATCAAGTTCAGATGAATTTATAATTTTGGGCATCATAGTTGCAACTAGTGCCCAATCCATAATCCTTTACGTTCAGGAAAAAGCCTGCTGACATTGATGGTGCTTCTGCTGTTATTGGTAATGACTGTACGTTTAAAGTTCCGTTTATTAAGTACAAATGAGCATAAAAATATACAAAAGGAAGCAAATAATAAACAAGACGTAATCATGGTGTCCTTGCTAGTGTAGCTCATCACAGTCGGAAAGATAGTTGCACTTTCTCTCTTAGGTATTAGCCAAATCATAAAGTTCGATTGGTGGGACGTTATGTAAGATAAAAATTCCACAAGTTTCTACAAACAATATCACTAGCTTTTTCAAATTCCTAAAAGTGCAACTTCAAATATCAAAACAAAATTTATAAGCTACAGTTTCATAACCAACCTTGCAGCAAGCAATTCTAAGGAGTTTACTATTAGCTTTGGACAAACTTTGAAAGTAGTTTGTTACATACCTGGCAATTTCAAGAGCATATCTAATAACCTTATGGGGCTGCAGACGTCCTTTCTTGTGAAGGTAACTCCCTAAGTCACCCTGAGTTTTCACAGAGAAGAGAATAAAAAAATAATGATTAAAAAACTAACATGATACTCTTGTAGATAAAAAAATGTGGATAACATCCTGATGAGATAGAGTCATAGACAATAGAAAGGCAAGAGTGATTTATTTTGCAAAAATCATAAGGCAATGAACATGTGAAGGTATGGTAAGTTGAAGAATTGGATTTGTCCATAGATTACTTACTTTTGGATGGTACTCCGAAACAATCATCATTGGTATATTTTGGGTGACAGCTCCTACAAACTGAATTACATTCGGATGACGGGCCCTTTGTAACAGATTCAGTTCATATTTGAATGCATTTCTGCAGATGAAAGACATCTTAATAATGTACAAAACAAAGCAAAACAAAGAACAGAGAATATGCAAGAAACGAAGTCTATAAACAGTTTCTATAAGTATGATATCAGGGACAGACAGAATAAGGACATCAGAGAAAGCCCTTCTAGTGGTGCTGAAAAATCAGGTGAGTGTTTTATGGGACAATCACAACATTCGAATTTGCTACATAAAAAGATATAATCAACTCATAGTTCAGGAGAGTTTGACTCAGAACAATTTCAATAAATAAAAATGACCTACCACCTATTCTTTTATATCTTAAAGCTTAAAAAGAGCAGGTTAAGCAGTTACACTCTATCTGGGTCTGAATAGCTTTCTCTGTCAAGGATTTTCACAGAAACCTTTGTACCATTCCACTTAGCGACTTGGTAAGTATCCTGACAAAATGTTGAAAAAGGAAATAATGAACTTCCATCAATCAATAAAAGAATTACCATATGGCTTAAAGAAGCATCAATAAAACAATGACCAAGGAATCAATAAGGAGAATAATGCAGCTCTATTGCAAAATTAAATTCAGTTTATATATCTTGAATCTAGAAGAACAGGCATGAACTAAACTATGTGGTATCAAAAAACTACAACACCAAAGAAATGATGTTTTCCTGCAACCGCCACTTTCTGGTACCTTATTCCAAATATTAAATCCAATATTTTGTATGCTTTATTGACCTGCTATTTCTTATCATATATGTTTTCATCAGCATATAAAGCAGCCATATATCGCTACAATTATCATTTAGCATCTTTTTCTGTCCAGACCATAATTTCAAATGATTCACACTATCTTTATCATCATGTTAGACACTTAGGTGTAGGCAAAAGTCAGGAAGAACATGCCTTTAGGACCTCTTCACCTCGTCGGAACTGAAGCTCCCCTGGATTTAGCTCATACTCTGGAACTTCTTGGGGATTTGACACAGCCATGGGAGTCCTCCTGGTTTTCTGGAGACATCAGGAGAGAAATTGAGGAGGTTCTTGCTCCTATTAAAAGAAATGGTTTGGTAGGAAAAAGAAGAAATACCGGGACTTTGGCTCCTCGAGCTTTCAAGATGCTGTACACTTCAACGTTGCCGTAGTACTTGGCATCTGCAGCAGCCTACGATGCAATAACCAGGTTGTGAACGCCCTATTGTCTATCAGTCGCAATAGGATTTATCCAAAAGCATGTTCTAACACTAAACGAACATATGGAAGCATATGAGATATCACAAGCAGCAGAAAGATAAGATTTTTACCGTGCTGCCCCACCGATCCCTGGCATCGATGTTGGCTCTCCAGCTCAACAACAGCTTCACGACACCGATATGTCCCTCACACGCCGCTATATGTAACGCCGTCCTGCCGTCCAAATCGATGCTGTTCACGTCGACGCCATTCTCCATGAGCTCCTCCACCCCCTTAGCGTCCCCCTGGCACGCCAAGAACAGCAGCTGCATGGTGGAGTCGAGGTTCTCCGGCACCGTGAGCTCCTCCCTGGCGGGGCTCCTCGTCCCACGGTTCGGATCTAGCGAGGACTGCCGCCCGAAGCTAAACCTACTGACATTGCTAAGCCGCGGGTCGAAGGAGAGGTTGCGCTTGAAGCTAAACCTCCCGCTCCTCCTCACAGAACCCCCAGAGAGCTGCCGCGAAATGCCGCGCTTGAGCTGCTTCGCCGCCTCCATCTCCGTCGATCTCCTCGTCCCCGAAAGCAGAGCCTCCAACTCCCACCAATTACCAAGAACAAACACGAAAGGAAAAGTGGGGGAGTTGAAGATCACATCCTCCACGGTGGTTTCGGAAGGAGATCAGAGTTACACCCCGGTTTCGATCCAGAACCGGGGAGACGATTGGTGAGTGGAGGGATGGGGGGATCGAGGGGAAGGAATTGGAGGGAGGTGGAGAAGAAGGAGGGGAAGGGAGGGAATGGGGGCGGATTTGGGGGTGTGGAGGAAGCTGCAAACCCTAGTTTTCCGGAGAAGAGGACAGCGAGGCCGCCTTTTATCGGAGGGAAGGAAGTGGCGGTTAAATAACCGCAAATCTGTGGCTCTGACTTATTCCTTTGAACACAAAACATGCACCATTTCTCATCCCTTATTCTTCCTCTTAAAATTATATTTGGCCATTAAATTCATATCAAGATTTACAAATGCATTGTCAACCTCATAGCATTTAATATCTTTCTAGCAGATTGCACTCTCAGATCAAAACATTATATTGTGGAAGAGGAATTTGGACACACTCTGCCTCTTATCAGTGCAAAGAACAGATCAAGCTACTCCCTTGAGACACACACGACCTGCTTGCCCACATTATTGCCGGTGAAAAGGCCGACGAATGCTGCCGGTCCGTTCTCGAGACCTTCGTTCATGTCCTCGATGTAAACAATCCTCCCCTGCTTGTAGAGATCTATGATGGTGGGCAAGAACTTGGGGAACAGGTGCAGGTAGTCGCTCTGGATGAAGCCCTCCATCCTGATGCGCTTCATCACGAGGGTGTAGAGGTTGGAGATCCCCTTGGGGTCAGAGACGGCGTGCTGAGAGACCATCCCGCATACGGCGACCCGACCATGGACTCTCATGTTGAGCAGTGCTGCGTCGAGCATGGCGCCGCCTACGTTGTCGAAGTAGATGTCAATGCCCTTTGGGAAGTAGCTGCAAGTTTCAGCAGATCAAGAGGCACAAGGATGGTTTGGGTGAGTTCAAACTTGCAGCCAATGTGTAATGATGAATCTGTGAAGTTATCGGCAACATCTGTAAAATGCACATGGTATAAAATGCTGAAATGCAGTTCAATTTCTTCTCGGACCTCTCGGAATATGAACTAAGAGCCTAAAATACTTAATTCCAAGTTAACAATGGTAAACCAACTCAAGTTATAATATCAGAGTGACGTTTTTGCTATCTCATATATCAAGAAGAAAACATAAAACAAGAGAGTGGAATATGTTCATGTGCAATAACTCAAATATATATGCAAACTTTAAGAAACTGAAGTGAGATGGATTGACTTTGGATCTGGAGGAACCTAAGGTACTTGAGCATAACAGAGAATCAGTATATTTGAGATTGAATAATATAACACGATTATTAGGAAGTTCAACATCAATTTTTACATGAATCAAAATTTGTAGGTCACAGTGAATTGGTTGAGCTGGGGAAGAATCTAAGGGAGTGGCATGAGATATACACTGACCTTCTCAAAGCTTCAGTCAAGTCAGGTTCCTCTTTGTAATTGAATGCTTCATCAAACCCTAGCTTGTTCTTCAGAAGATCAACCTGATACAAAGTTTAATCAGTAAGCCAGAAAAGCAAAACTGATATATGACTCGATCTCAAGAAAAGGCCCGCCCTACCTTTTGTGCTGATCCAGCACTACCAACAACATAACATCCATGTAGCTTGGCAAGTTGACCCACAAGCTGACCAACTGCTCCAGATGCAGCAGATACAAAGACATAATCCCCTTTCTTTGGGGCACAGATCTCGTAGAAGCCAACATAAGCCGTAAAACCAGTCATACCTGTTCCCCACAAATGTTTATAAGACCATGATGCCTCTAAGCTTACGAAACATGTCAAAGAAATTATATCTGCATTTAATGGATCCAAATACAGATGCCAGTTAAGCTGGTAAAAGAGTTGCACTCTACCAACTGTACAATGTTAAGATACAAACATTAAGTAGGTGCACCTTGTCAAATGACAAAATGAAGAAGAAAGAAGAAAGAAGAGGTGATATTTGAGAAAAGAACTTTAAAGCCGAAAAATAGCATCATTTCATGCAAGGTTTTAAAATTTGGAAAGATATTAATTTCAGTAATCTACTGAATTGGTAAGGTAAGGGTGTACCAACTACACTCTATACTTTTGGTATCAAAAAAATAAATATCTGTTGGTGCCAAACATGATTGTCCTGCATTGGTTCTTACTCGGACTGATAAATACTGATCAATAATCACTGTCCCAGCCGGTTTTTTTAAATCTTGATCTGATACAGTCACAAAATGTACTTAGTGATTAATATGAGGGTTCTTTTATGAGCATGTGGTACATAAATTAGACCATGTAAGATATGAGAACTGATATGGGAACAATTTAATTAGAACCAGAGACGGCATGCAAGAACAGATACATACCGAGAAGTCCCACATGGTATGAAAGAGGGACATCAAAGACCTCAATTTTTCTCAGTTGCTCAGTCCTGACAATAGTACTGTACTCTTCCCAGCCAGTTAGTCCTGTGATGTAGTCACCAACACAAAAATTTGGGTTTGTGGAGTCAACAACTTTGGCCACCCCAAAGCCCTCTATCACCTTCATGGAAATGACAACCACCAAGTCAGCTACTGGGAGCTTGAATATGATAATAATTTATCATCACTTATTCAAGTTTTCATATGAGAGAGCTGATATGCACATGAAAGTATGCATTGTAATGATGTTAAGCATCAGGCAATTCCTCACATGTTAGTGATTTAAGCTTGAATATGCATGTTAAACAAGAGAGAGAGAGAGAGAGAGAGAGCACTAATAATTTGCAATTTCTTGTCTTTATCCTGTAATAAGGATACAAAAGAATCAACTTACTAATGTTTTCATACTCATCACCAAGAAAAAAGAAAAGATTGAAGAATCATCATAAGTAACGGAGTTTCATGTATTTGTTGTCCTTTTTTGATGAAGTTGTTTGCTCAAAAAGATGTAACAAATAGCTCATTTTTCAGCTGAGCTATTTCAGCAGCATTATTACGAACAGGTAACATGCTGCTGTTGGAGCAGAGCAATCTCCTTGACATTGGAATTTGGTCAAGAAGTACTTAACCAAACATAAAGGGAATAGATGATTTATTCTGTTCAAGAAACAAAAAGATTTCAAGAGGAGAGAAGAAGAAGCCAAGTTTCTGATTAATTATCTTTTTCCCCAACAAGTATATTCTTATCAATAGCAAAGTGGGATGGAAATGATTCACCAGTGAAGAGCATCCCAAAGCTCAGAAATCACTATGTCAATCTCACCTCAGAAAAATGAGGCAGAAATTTCAATCTCTTTCCATCTTGAAAGCAGAAATCTTCTGATACGAATTATTACGACAGATCAAACAGTATAGATTAGAGGTGAACGGACGATCATACCGAGCCGGGCTGAAACGGAGGGATATAGGAGTCAGAGTAATCCCTCATCCTCCCCCTCATGTAGGGATCGCAGGAGAGGTACAGGTTCTTCACGACGATGGCTCCCTCCACCCCTGTGGGGGCTCTGAGGCTCACCTTCCCCTGCCTGATCTCCATGTCCGTCTCCTTCGGAGCTCCCACCACGAACTCCTTCAGCACCACCTGCTTGTTCCTCACCATCTCCTCCGCGGCTTCCCCCATAAGAAAGTACACAACCGAGTAGGCGAGCTACGAAGACGAAGAGGCGAGTGATGCGGGAGGTGAAGAGAAGGATCGCATGGGCTTTAATAGAGGGGATAGAACAGAGGCGCCGCAGTGCGCTTTCCTGACCGACCTGCGTGGCGTATTTGGAGCCAGCCATTGGTAGTCGAACCACGTCGAATCCAAAAGCCCTCAGCGACAGTGCTTTACGTGGTCCTTTCGACGTTGACGTTGACTCTACGCCCGTTGACCGCGGGTCTTAGTACCGTACGTCGAAAATACCGTTGTACGGAACACGTATCTATTGAGATCACAGCATATCACGTGATTTCTGCGGAGAAATCTGTGCCATATGCTCCGTGGAGAATCTGGCAACAGTGTGAACCCGAATCCGTCCTCGGATCGATTCACTCAATCTTGCGGGAAGAACAGATGCCAAGCTCATGCTGTGCCAATCGACATCAGTTAGTGTGCAAAGGCGGGTGGGTGTGAATGCTACCCGACGGAGAAGAAGGCTGAAGTGAACAAGCTGAAATAGATGCAAGCCAACCAGTGATTGGTTCACACTTCTTGCAGTCTTTGAATGGAATCTGTGTCTTTGCTAAATCAAATTGATGTTTCTATCATGATCGTCGAAGTCACATCAGCCACATTCACACTTCAATTTCATCAAGTAAAATATTAGAGGGCTTATCATGGATTGTCGATGCTAGTCGTCGTGTAGAGCTTACCTAAAACGGATAATTCCTTGTAGGTCGACCACGTGTTTGCATTAATGAAATCATCGAGCACTCGACAAATAAGTTGAGGTTCGAAAACTCGATCTAATCGAATTTGATCCAATTTGCTTAAATAAACTATCCAATGGTCTAGAGAGATCAAATTTGGTAGCAACATTGGGGTTTAAGCTCCTAAGCCACACTTTGTGATGTTTGACGCTCAAAGTGAAAGGGGGAAAGATTCATTTCCAAAGGTGATGCCATATTTCAAGACATTGGTCCAAGTTGAGGATTAGTGGGGCATTCATACACTTTGGTTGATGTTAATGGAAAGAGCTAATTTTATGTGACTACCCTACATTTGTTCCTTATAGTCTATTATGACACTTTATTGTTTGAGATTGACATAAGAAATTAGCACCATTTCTTATTTTGGTCTGTTCACATTTCTCAGGTCTTGATGGTAGGTGGAGAGTGGGGAAACAAAGAAATCCACATCAATGTTGATCTGTGAGTCCAATCATAATTAACACTTTAATGTGATTAAAAGGGACTTCAAAAAAATAATAATAATGTCATGAAGACTTGTAAGTTAGATGATGTGCCCATCAATGGCCTCCTATCATCATCATCATAATTATTTATAATAATGACTCATGTTCCAATTTAAGTCTTGAAAACTTGGGGTGAAGATTAAACTATATTAGACTCTAATTAGTGAAAAAATTTTTTTTGTTAAAATAAATAGATAGATCATATTTTAAGATAAATTCTCAAGAGATTTATGTTTGACATATGAAACATGATTAGAGGCATGAAAGTAAAGAGATATATATTAAAAAAAATCAAAATTATACTTGTCAAAATTAAACTTAAATCAAAATAAAAGGAGAGAATAAAAGAAAGAGTGAAAGGAAAAGAAGTGAAGGATGCAATTAGAATAAAGAGAGAGGATTTTCCTCTTTCTTTAAGGTAGAATAAAGAGAGAACTTTCCTCTCTCTCTCTCTCTCTTTAAGGTAAATCATGTATTAATAAGATGCAATTAGAATAAATTATGTTCAGACTCATAAGGTAGATGGTTTTTGGAGAGAGGACTTTCCTTCCTAATCTTGCTACTTTGATGTCACTTCTTGAAATAATATAATTTCTATTTTCTTGGAAAAAAATAAAAAAGAGAGAGAATGCTTTTTGAAATAATATAGTTTCTAGTTGCTTGGAGAGAGAGAGAGAGAGAGAGAGAGAGAGAGGATTTCTTTTGTTGTGATTGTTGCTCACTCCATCTAAAAGTCCAACAGGAGGTGTTGATGTCTTGTCTGTGTTCATAATATCATCAAACATATGTAGACATAGGTGGAACACAGAATGATCCAATGTTATAATTCAGGTTATAACATTGGCTTCCCCTCAAAAATCTGATCATGAAGAATTAAGGAACTAAGATGTCAAAGGTAGCTGAGAGCAGTGAAGAGTAAAGCAGGGGAGGAGTGAGAGATTGTATTGCTTAGGAAGCTAAATCTCTGTACATGAAGTATACCAGCATGTGAAGAGGGTGTCGGCTTGAACAAGCCAATGCACAGACAACCTACTACGACCCGAAAGACCTCCACCTTCATCTCAGAGACAGCTCGGTGGGACATTGAGACCGGAAGCAACCCCATTAGCGTACTTGCAGGAGGACTGTGCTCGCTGACTGTAGTAGCTGAGCTTAATATCTTGCAATGTGATGCCACTGCATGGATTACTGGGGCTGCAGTCGAAGGTCACGGCCACCGGCGTCGCCGACGTCCCCCTGATGTTCTTGTACTTCACTTGACTGATCTTGATGCCGGAGCTCTGACCAGGGCAGCCTTTGTTCCCGGGGCAATAGTTCTGGTCGATGATGATAGGGTTTTGGACGTTGCGCATCAGCGCGTCCTCGAAGACGACTCCCCTCACCTGGCCTTGGATGCGTGTCCCCCATGTCTTGATCCTCACTCCGTTCTGTGTGCCGGAGAATGTCACCGTCTTCACGGTGACGTTTCTGACGCTCTCCTCTTGCAGCCCTTGAGCTCTGCCGAGGCTCCCGATGCTGATGCCGTGGCCGGGGCCGCAGAAGACGCGCTCGATCCAGAGGTGGGCGGTGCCGGGGCCGACGGAGATGCAGTCGTCGCCGGTCCGGATGTTGGCCTGGAGGATGTCGACGCCGGTGGACATCTGAACGTGGATGCCGTCGGTGTTGGGGCTGTTCCCCGACGCCACGATGTTGACTCGACTCAGCTTCACGTTCTGGCAGCGGAGGACCACGATGTGGAACAGCTTGCTGTCGATCGACGTCAGGCCGTCGACGGCGATGTTCTTGGAGTTGACGAAGGTCAGCGACTGCAACCAGGGGAACAAACACGAGTCGCATGATCGATCCATCTACCAGCTACGTACTGCAGAAAGGAAGAGCATGAGCCCCGCTTACCGATGTGCCTCTGGGGCAGCTGCGGCCAGCTAATTTGCAGGCCCACAGGCGACTCCCGCCGCCGTCGATGGTGCCGCCGCCGCTGATGGAAACGCCATCGACGCCGCTAAAAGCTATCCACTGGTCCGACCCACCGGAGCCGGAAGGCGCAACCAGGGTTCCTTGGATCAGAAACTTGATCATGGAGTTCTTGCAGGGGCCACGGAAGACGGCCTGGGTCACGAGGAACTTCCCGGCGGGCACGTACACGGTGGCAGGGCTCCAAGAGTTGCACGCGTAGGACCAAGCCTTGAGGAAAGACCGAGCGGAGTCGGCACTCCCGTCGGCTTTTGCTCCAAACTTCACCACGTCGAAGACCGCATCGTTTCCTGGCACGAGGAAGACGAAGACGAAGAAGAGGGGGAGAAGGAAGAAGCTGCTCGTGGTGGTCGCCATGGCTAATGGCTGGTCCGAAGCAGCTCGAGCAGCATATAAAGCATGGAGCGGGTGGGAAATCCTGCAAAGCGATGCAGCCACCAACTCACACACACAGAGAGACTGCATGGTCTTCTTCCACCGAGGTGGGTTAGGTTAAGGTCTGGTAGAAATCCATGGCCAAAGAGAGCAGATACCAGGAAAAGCAAAACCTAGATTGACTGCAACTAAGCGTTTGGTGGAGAACGACAACAAAGGAGGCGAAGAACTGTGTTTAGCATATGATCGACATGTTCACTCCTGCAGTGCATTAATTTGCTTGTTAGGTCAGATAAGTAACTTCAAAGTCAAACTAGTGGATAGATTAAGATTATGATTATGAATTGAATTAAGAAAAGGAATCCTTAGTGAATTAAGATTTATTGAAAGTATAATAATAATAATAATGATAATAGATATTACTAATACAAAACGATGCATTGTTAATCTCCCAATCTCTTTGATCCAAAGCCAAAACATCATTTAATTTCTCGATCTCTCGATGTAAAGAAACAACAAAAAAAAGGAGTCTACATATCTAAGATCATGAAATCGAAAACAAAACCTTCGAGTTGAGAACGGATTTGTTAGGGCGAAGGCCTAAACTTTTGACTACAAAACATGCACTCGGTGGAAACGTTGTTTGACTTGGAAATTGGTAGACGGTTGAATTCGATCGCTTTGACTTTTTAAAAGGGGGAGTGTGTGTGCACTTGTAACTAATTGTTAGGGATATTTGGTCAACTTCGATTTGACTATTCTTCTTCTTCTTCTTCTTCTTCTCTCTCTCTCTCTCTCACCCACACAAAGAAGCGTCCAAATTGGATTGGAAAATATAGATGAGATCAAATGAACCCCTTACGAGGGGTCAATCGATTGAGATAGGAGCCCTAATTGGGGGTGAATTCTTCAAGGTTCGATTGAGATAGGAGCCCTGCTTGATAAGGCCTCTCTAACATTTAAAATCAGTGTCTCATGGTGGAATGAGTTCCTAAGTTAATGTACCTAAAAAGATTATCCTTTTATAGTTTTCTTCTTAAATCACCATCACTTACATAAGATTAAGTGCGAGAATATTTTCCTTATGTTTCATATTGATATGACGCATTTTATTGGCAATATTTTGCTTCCTATATGATTAAACTCAACTTGTCTAGTTGAATACAGATAACTATAATATAACAATTATATTTGACCTCAAATCCAAGCCGGTATTTTTCTTCTCATCCGACCTCATTCAGAACTTGATTATAAATGACTCATATGGACTTTGGATCACAAGAATACTTGAATCATCGAAATGGATCACTTGTAGGATCAAGGAGTAATAACATGATTTGTTCATCTAACTTAAGCTTATTAATTATTAAGTGTTAGGGAAAAATGTTATTGATATCTACACAAAGACCCGCTTATTAATTATTAAGTGTTAGAAAAAAATATTATTAATATCTACACAAAGACCCGTATACATGAAATTATTTGAAATGTATCCAAAATAGAAATGATGTGCTCTCGAGGTGTCATCTATACGAAGACCAAGGTTGAGAGAGGTTTCCTAACCTGTTCCCTCCAATGCTCAAGTTAATAATTCAAGGTCCTCAGGTTCAAGTTATTCAAATGTAGTCTCTTACATTAGGTTTAAGATGTATTTTTATATCTTAGAGAATGAGAAGTGAGTTTATGATTGTCTTCCTCGTCATAATGGATGAGAAAGAAACTTGTGATTGTCTTCCTTGTTATAAAGGATAAGAAGGAAGCTTATGTTTTTCTACTTTGAATCTTCATCTATGTAGACAGATAGGTAGAGGGTGACTTGGATTTTATGTGATAACTACGTGCCAGCTAATAGTAGACTCCATATCACTTGTCCCCCACCGCCACCGCCCCTATCGAAGGCATGCTTCGGGGCTCTTGAAAGAGGGGTTCGAAGCACATCGCTTAGTTCATCTGACTTGGAATAGTTTAGTATCTTATCTTATGGTTCGTCTGACTTGGGAGAGTTTAGTATCTTATCTTATGGGTCGGGTTTTCCCTATTCAAGTGTTCTGGGCGTATTTGGCTTGTGTTTTTATCGTAGCAGATTTCATTAGCATGGGTCAGATTTTTTCAACTTACACACCTCGGGCACATGTTGTCTTTCATCTCCACCGTGACGGATTTCTCTTAGCATGGGTTGGGTTTTCCAACATATATATATGTCTTGGATGCATTTGGCCTTGTGCTTCTACCATAATTGATCCCATGTAGGTCATGTTTTTCTAACTCACATGTCTCAAGCGCATTTGGCTTTGCGCCTCTACTGTAATAGATTTATCTTGGCATAGGTCAGGTTTTCCTAACTCATATGTCTAGGTCGCATTTGACCTTATGCCTTCATCGTAGTGGATTTCTCTTCACGTGGGCTGGGTTTTTCTAACTCACACATCTCGAGCACATTTAGCATTGCGCTTCTACCGTAGTAGATTTATCATAGGATGAGTCAGGTTTTCTCAACTTGCATATTTTGGGCGTATTTGGCCTTGCACTTTTGCAATATAGGATTTTTCTTCATATGGGTCAGGTTTTCACGACTCACGTATCTTAGGCGCACTTAGCCATATGCCTCCGTCATAACGGATTTATCTTGACATAAGTCGGGTTTCTTGACTCATGTGTCTCGAGCGCATTTGACCTTATGTCTTTACCATAGCGGATTTATCTTCATACAAGTAGAGTTTTCCTGACCCGTGCATTTTGGGCATATTAGCCTTGTGACTTCGCTATGATGGAATTTTTTTTATGTGGGTCGGGTTTTCCCGACTCATGCATCTAGAGCATGTTGGCCTTATATCTCTATCGTGATAGATTTCTTCATGTGGGTCATGTTTTCCTCACTCATGCATTTTGGGCATATTGGCCTTGTGCCTCCGTCATTGGATTTTGTGTTCTCTCGCTATGGTGAGTCTTCCTTTCGTCGTGGCGGATTTCAAGTTCTACCACTGTAGCGACCTTTGCCACAATGGATTTTGGGTCCTCTCGCCATGGCAGGCTTCATGTCTTCTCTCGGTCATAGTGGATTTTGAATCCTCTCGCCATAATGAGCTTCATGTCCTCCCTCTACCATAGTAGATTTCGGGTCCTCCTGCCATGGCAAGCTTCAAGTCCTCCCTTCATCATAATGGATTTCGGGTCCTCCCACCATGACAGATTTTGGCTCCTTCCTTCATTGTGGAGGGCTTCATGTCCTTCCTCCACCATAATAGATTTCATGTCCTTCGCCATAATGGGCTTCAAGTCCTCCCTCCGCCATAGCAAATTTTTGGTCCTCCCACCATTGCAGGCTTCAAGTCCCCCTTCTACCATGGTGGATTTTTAGTCCTCTCACCACGATAGATTTCTCTTCATGCAGATCAGGTTTTCTTGACTCATGCATCTTGAGTATATTTGACCTTGCACCTCAATCGTGGATGATGTTGATTCCTATTGACACAAGTCGATGCTCTTCGCCAAAGATGTTACGTTGGATCTCATCGCTAATAATGGTCTCGGCGATGGTCCAAAGGCTGAGCTGGTCGATGAGTGCCTATACCTAGCTCTTCTTTTTCGAGGTAAATAGTGACTACGATAACCATAACTCTATAAATAACATTAAGGTCTCTTCCACGGTGAGCAATGGGGTACAAGAGGTCATCCTACATGACGTAAGTGAAGATCACCTTGAGGAGCCACCCCTTGAGCTTCTTGTTGTTGACGGTGATGGGTCCCTGTAGGCTCTCCCACACAATGCGGTTCATGAGGGTGTCAATTAGGGTGGTATTGCCGGAGCCATTCATCCCCAACATTGCGAAGATCTCCCCTTCCCTCACCTCGCTCGAGATGGAATTCAATATAGCCTCTCAATCTTGGAGATCATCTTCAGTGCCCTGAGGCTAGCGATGGGGTCAATGGCAAGGTAGTTCTTGCGTAAGAGCGATAACTTCTGGTACTTCCTCACGTTATATGAGAGATCAGTGAAGACGAGGATGAAGGGGTCAGAGGCGAAATGCCAAGTGGTCATCGGCGTCACCTTTGGGAGCGAAGCCATCGAGCTTGAGGGCATGGTGCTCCGGGGAGGCATAGTCATCGCTCTCGGTAATGTCGTTGTTGTGAGCATCACTTGTTGGGCTAGTTGGGCCATTAGCGTCTGTACCTACTGGGTGAGGCTCAAGAACAACTTTAGTGGGGATGAGTATGTGACTTGAGGTTGCCTCCAAGGGTGAGAGGCTTGGGTCATTGAACAAACGCCCATATCGCATCGATGTTTGACCCAAGATGGATGCATCTACATGCAAAAAGAACCTCCTTACTCGAACGTCCATTGAGAGGGTTGGAAGGTAGACGTTCTTGTGATATTGAGCCCTCTTTCTAGCACCAAAATGTTAGAGAAAAATGTCATTGACGTCTTGGTTAGCCCAACATGATCCGAATCCGTATGCAAAGGATTGTCCAAAATGTCTCTGAGGTAAAAACATCGTGCTCCCGAAGTGTTACCCGCATGAAAGCTAAGGTCAAGAGAGATTTTCCAATCTAATCCCTTCAATGCTCAAAATCCGAGGTCCTCAAATATGGGTTTGAGTTGTTTAAAAGAAGTCTACATTATAATGGATAAAAAGAAATTTTGTGTTTGTCTTCCTTATTATAAAGAATGAAAAGAAAGCTTATAATTTATCTTTTTATCATAATGAATGAAAAAAAAAACTTATGTTTTCATAAATCTTTAGATTCTCTATTAATTAATTAAAGTAAATTTTCATGTGACATAAGGATAGAATAGTAACGTTACAACACAATAAGTCAAGACAAACAAAGCAATGGCATATCTTTAAGTGACGAGTGAAGAAACTCCATGAATACCCAAAAAAAATTAATGATAAATGTTTTCTCCTTATACCGTATAAGCTCTCTTAAACGATGGACTCCACACCTCTCTAAAATTTACATGTGATAGTGTTCTAGCCCATATTATTATGATCTAAAT